GACAGAACAAACTAGTTCCCTTTTAATTGTGTTTCGCTTTCCCTGAGAACCGTTTTCACAACGACGGAAACCAAAAGTCTGGAAAAATGAAACGAGTTCAGCCACAGATCAGCTTTAAATATTAATGAGGCCGAAGAGTTAAAAAGAAAAGTCACAAAACAAGTGAGGGGGGGGGGGTCTGGAGACCTAATTACTCAAGAGAGCCGCCATTTTGGCTCCTCGGTGTCGTTCAGCTCTGCAGGAAGCGGCAGAGACATAAAAACACACCCCTTCAAAATAAAAGCCCTGCACGCACCACAGTGAGGTCTGAGTCATCCAGAGTGCAGAGGGGGATTGTGGGATACTTTGGCTGGAATCCATGATTGCTTGCAGCGGGAACGAAGGGATGAATTCATGATTCTGACATTATTTTATATATTCATGATCATTATGTAAATATTCAGCCTCTCCGTGCTCAGTATGTAGATGAGCTTAAAGCTCGTTACATCACTACGGCTCTGAATGTTAATATTTGGAGATGTAACGAGGAGAATATTTGGCGTTTCTTCTTCCCCTTCTTCCAGCATGTTTTTATTTCACATCTTTAAGGCCACAGTTTGAAGCAAACAAAAAAATAAATCAAGTCCTTTCTAAAGAAAAAATTAAAATAAATCACAGCGGGTTGATGGACTGGACCCCTGCGGTGCCTCCACCTTTAACCACCACCACCACCACCACCACCACCACCGAGACCCCGTGTTGCATAGATAGAGTATAGGTGGAGCCTTTCACACGTGTTGTCACAGTGTTGTTTTGGGGGCAAATACAACAAAAATACTTGTTGTTTTCTGCCCGTCAGAAGTCTCGAGGTGTCTCTGCAGGTCATCGCCACGGAATATTAAAAAAGAAAGCTGAGGTCATAAAGTCTCCCACCGTCAGTGCTAATTGGGCCCTTGTCAGGGTCAGAGGTCACAGTGCAACACGTCCTCAGAGCTCCTCCTTCTTCTTCACCACCTTCTCCTGGTCTCGACCTCGCAGGCTGCGCATGAACCCGATGAAGCCGGCCTCCTGAGGAGAGACGGACCTTCAGGAACCTCAACAGCACTTTCTCTTTCTAGAAATATCGTGACGCGTTCATGTAGGAACTATTTTCTTTCTACCGAACTACATCCGCCAATCGCATCACCGCGCAGAAGGAAGCGTGCATCTGGATCGCTGGCTCACCTAGCACCTCAGAGCTAACGTTACAGCTAACGGCTAATGTTTACGTCTCATGATGTCATGAGACTCTCGTCCATGAGTAGAGGCCACACACTGGTTTCAAGAAGTGGACGTTTTGAAGCCGCAAGTTCGGCATTTTGGCCGTCGCCATCTTGGCTTTTTTGCAACCATTAAACAGGAAGTGACCATATTTGGACTGAGGAGGAGTGACGTAGAGACGCCGTATACGTAATACGAGGATAGAAACCTGGTAGATGCACACTTCCTTCTACGGGATGATACTGGTAACGAACTGTTGATTTCATTTTGATTAAACTTAGAGTTACGAGGCAGAGATTGGTTTTTAATTGAGCAACAAAGCTCTGCTTTACTCATATTAACCCAGCTTTGCTAAACTCTGATAAGAACTACTCTTAGATTAAATGAATCCTTGTTGGTGCAAACCACCATTTTACTGGCTGACACCTGCAACAAAGAGCCAACAATTATATGAAAGTGACAAGATAATCTTTTGCAACATCAAACATTAAAGGCAGTTGTACATGAAAGATGTTGCTACACACTATGGAGCCTTTCAGAACCCTTAACAACTAAAGACTGACATCTTACGTTTAAAGACTGTTGTCCAGATTCACTATTAAATGTGTGATGTAATTAAGTCTCCTGAGGCTCAGTCGGGAGGTGAAAGCCTGACAGCAGGACAACGTCGACTGACTCTCCATCACCCTGGACATGTTTGATGGACACATTGGCATTTTAATGAAGTCTCCGGGGAGTTCCTGGCTTAAGCAGAGAGCTTATGTCTGCTTTTTACTTTCTTTATCACCCACAAAGGAAAGAAATGTGCTCATGTGCTCAGTGTGTTGAGCACTTACCTCTCGATCTCCGTTGTATTTCTCCACGAACTTGCCGTAGTTGTAGTGGACGAACGTCGGGTATCCCTCCACTCCTTCCTGCTTACAGAGCTCGTGGTTCTGTGCTCTCGTACAGTCCACGGCGGCGTACACAATCTGAGGGAACACCAGACAATCTATTGAGAGTGATGCTGTACGAATGTGACGCAACACGGAGTCGTCCAGGTGTTGGACATGCTGCTCATCAGGTGAGGTTAAAGGCATAGAAGTGTTGTTGGATGAGGTGCTTCTCCATATAGACATAAATATTTATATGAAGGTAAAGAGGTGAAAACATTCTAAATATAGCGTTCACTTTAACTGATATATTCTTTTAGGAGTCTAACATACGTCCACAGCAGAACATCTACTGTAGTGACACACTGAGGAGAAGAAGCCCATGTGAAATCAACCCTTTCATTGTTACACCGTTAGCATATTAGCATACTTTGTAGCATGAACAGTATTTGGATTAAAACTCATATAAAGTCCTCTTTTATCTTCGTTTGAGGAGAAGCTGAGAAGATAAAATCTGTGATAATAAAAACCATGATTCAGTTTAATGTCGGTCGTCATTTACTCTGCTGGATATTAAACCTGAGATCTGAAACAGCTTTCGCCTCCAACAACCTTCTGAAAGCAGCTTCATTAAATCACTTGGCTCGTGTTTTATAGTATTTCCCCATTTTATTGTTCTGTAACAATGATATTAATTCACAACCGGCATGTTTTGGTTCAATTAGTTATTGTTACTGAACTCACTATATTTCGAGAACAAATAAACTTTATTATAACCGTAAATAAACACAAAAAAGGACTCCACTACTTTACATTTATCAACTGTAACATTTACATGCATTCAGAGCAGTTTGTCTCCAGCTCACAAAGATGCATCGATGCTCGCCTGAACCACTTGGAGTTGGTGGTGTGGAGAGGAACAAACAGAAAGCCCATAATAATCACTCCTACATAAAAACAACAAGGGAGATTTATGTTCCGAGGCTGTCGCATCGATTAGTGACGAGTCGCCCCAACGAGTCCCTCTGGACGGCTGGAACGTCTCTCGGGGCTGCTGAGCGCCAAATAAATCGCTTCCCGTCTGAACGTGGAAATGACAGATCTGCTGCAGGAGGAAAACACATCCAACACTTCTCTGCTCAAAACCTCTCGTCCTCATTAAGAATACAAGTGTTTGGGTTTTCTCCCCGATGCAAACACTCAAATGTTGAGAATCTGCATTAGCAGCATCGTGATGGTAGATGAGTGGACCGTTGTGGCAACCTGCGGTTCTTTAAAGTTCTTTAAAGCTTCGTGTGTTAAAGCTGCATTCT